TGGGGGAGTGTGCACATTTCAGATAACTTTAAAAAAACCCCTATTTTCCACATATAAGGCCTGATTTTGTTTAATCAGCCAAGAATTTAAATTTTTTTTTTCCTTTATAAGTTGAAGATCCTTCCCACCTCTGTAATCTCAAACAGAAGAGAGAAACACTATTTTGTGTAATGCAGTTTTGGGGGGCTTTCCAAATTAATAAAGAGATAGTATTAAAAGACTCGAATTCCTAAACACAGTGGCCAAGTTAATCCTTCTTCTCCACTGTATCACTGAAGAAGTTGACAGGGTTTTTTTCTGACCAGTTTCAGTGTCTTATTTCCAAAAGACATGTTTCATTGCTTTCATGAATCTGAAGACAAAGCACCAACCCAAATAAACATTTGTTAGGAAGTTTACTTCAGGATATCCTTTTCACTGGATCTTGCTGGGGCTTGAAATATCAAATGACTGACACCAAAATATGTCGTTATTTTAAATTTTATACTGAAAAACAAGAAGCCAGTCTGTCAGAAAAGCAGCAAAACTCTGCTCAGTGTAAGGAAGTATTTACATTCAGTGAACCTTTTTAACTTGAAAGAGATTTTCCCCAAAACTTTGCAGTTGAAAAAAGAGCAGCAGCAAATACCCAAGTTCTTTCCCACTCTGACCCATCAGCAAGGTTTATGAAAATGTTTCCATCAAGGCACTAAAGGGGAAAAACCATATGGTTTTAATTGCAGTTATTTTTTGTAATTACAGAAGAAAATAAGTAAGGACTGCCAAGCAGCCTACTAAAGCTCCAGACACAGCACCAGCGTCCTGGGCTCAGGACCTCAAGTAGCAGAAGACACCAAAGGCACCCAGACCCAACGAGCTGCAACAGCCTCTTACTCCTCTGGGCCTTTCTGATCATTCTCCTGCCCACCACCCACCCAGAGACATCATTCACACAAAGTCTGTGAGGAAGGGGAGGAGCTGACAGTCCTCTCTCCACCTAGCCTGAATCTGGGGGCTCCATGGAAATGAATGACCAGCTCTGACAATCCTAACAAAGTCGTTTCTGTAAGGACTGATGCCCAAGAGTCAAACTGCATCTCCCTAGAAAAGCTGTCTGCCTTTGGTGCCAAGAGTCCTTCCGTATTTTAAGAGAAGTGCTTTTGACAAGGCAGCAGGCAAATCATTTTGTCCAAAGCACTGAGTACCACAACAGAGCCGGAAACCTCCTGAACTTTGGCAAAAAACTTCATTTTCTAGAAGTAGCCCCTCTCCCTCACTGCTCCACTAGAAGAAGGGAGAAAGAGCAAACCAGTGTGAAGATGGAATAGAGGAAAGAAAAATCATTTTCTCCAGCATACATCACCTGTGACAGGTTAGAATATCCATCAGAGACCTAAAATGTTTAAAAGCTCCAAGTTTATCCTGTGTACCACTGTAATAACTCAGACACAAGCCCTTCAAAGCTGGGACAAACAGAGCACCTGAAGAGTCTCATCTTCATTAACATGAGAGGGAGAGGAGTCTAAATACAGCAAAGGTGAAAGCACAAACAGACCCAGTGCCTGCCATCATGGGGAGGCTTGGCAACTCCTGGAACAGCAGGATGTGTGTGTACACTGGGCTGCCACAAAAATACCCAGCATGAACTAACTGATAAACGTCTCCCCATCTGACAGTGACAGAGCCTGACAACTTACTGAGGTGCTTTATCTTTAGCTGTGTAATTTCATCAGCTTTACAACAGCCTCACTGCTTACACTTTCATATCCTGAGAGATGAGCCTGCTGGGAAGGTAAGATAGCTATGTTCATGCTCAGGAAATTAAAGCTACCCAGTATCTATTTTAATCATCATCAGGATACTTGCTTCTACTATAAAACTTATAAACTTTTTTTTTTTTTTAAATCTCATTTAAAGAGGAAAAGAACATTCAGGAAACAACCTTACCTATCATTCAGCATTACTCAGTCTGAGATTTTAAGTCATATACTGTCTGTATTTATCATCCAAACTTTAACTCTTACATTGCTACTTGGCAAAACAATAAGTTTGTCAAGAACTAGAACATTCTCAGTCTTATATATTCCGAATTTGCACAACAAGTATGACAGCAGTAAATAAAATTATAATAATTTTACATAATTCAAGGGTCCCCCCCCAGCTGCTCAGTTACACTGTAAACAACTGGCTAAATAGTTGCTTAATTTCTGATCTTACAAATACAGTCTCAAACACCTAGAAACACAGCATTCAACAACATGCCCCATTCTCTGTATTTTATCGTCATCATCCACCTGCACCCCCACCTGCTACCTCATAACTTCCACATTGAAGCTTTTCAGCCCTCACAAGTGCAGTAATTACCAAGCTTTATTAACACTTCTGACTGGACTCCAGAGGAGCTGAGCTCACCTCTCAGTTTATTCTCATACCAAGTCATTCAGAGCTGTAGCACTCCAGCACGGTAATGCTCAGTTGTTGTGATGGAAGCACACGCCAAGTCAGACCCCTCAGGTACCCAGAACATTCAGAGCCCTTTGTTACCCGCCTAAACGACTCACAAGAAGTGCTAAAGAAGAAAACGAGACCTTACCATCACTTGCAGAGAACTGCCCTCTTCCTCCAGTTTGAGACTCAGGAGCCCTAATCTAACATGTCGTGTCTGGGTTTGTTGCTGTTGTTCCCCACTCCCACAACCAACCTCTTGTAGCTGTTTCCACTTCATAAAGCAAGTTAAATTCTCTGTGTGCCACTGAAAACCACATACACCCAACCATTGGCTCGTAATCACATCTTCACAGAGCCTGAGATCCACCTCACAACTCCCAACCCAGTCGAAATTTAAGCATGTGGAGTGTGTTATGTGCTCACCACTGCCCAGGCCGAGGCACCACGCTATAGATAAAAATGTCATGGGGGAATAGGTGCTGGGTCTTTTCATGCTACTAACAGAAAAACTTCTAAAAAAAAAAAAAAGGCAAAGAAGCAGCTTACCCTTGGAGGGTGGACCCTGAGTCATCTAACACTGACTAATTTGTCAGGTGTTTATTTCTTTACTTTCTTACATGATGAAGAACTAGGCTGCCCACTTACTCCAGCTAACTATTGTTACTGGCCAACAGGCCAGGTCCCACCTGTTTTTTGGGGGGAAAAAAGTAAAAAGCTGCACAAGTTCCTTTGGCCTTTCAGTATCCCTGGGTTTGCTCTGCTAGGAATAGGTTAATTCAACTCTAGTTGAGAAATACAGAACCATTTCAAGTTTAACACATAGAGAAACAGAAAAAGAAAAAAGGCTGTATTGATGGTATTGGTGTTCCAGAGCACCAGTTATAACCTGCCCTCTTCAGAGGGCAAACACAAATTACAGTACTGATCTCTAGCAGGCACATTGCAAAACACAAGTTTTGCCATCAGCTTTCACGGGGCTAAGAGTCTTCCAAATATCTGCAATTATTCATCCAGAACAAACACCCAAAGGTTCTTTGCCAAAACAAACCGTGCAATAATTGGCTAATCACGACATCAGTTTTAATGACACGAACAATGAGCCTGCTGTTCAAAGGTCTATTGTGTACTCACTTCTCAAGAGAAACCAGCTCATTAAGTGCTAAATCATCCATCCAACTACCCCCTTTTACTTTTACTGGCAAGCGAAATGGTGAGAGGAGAATCTGAGCTGCCACGTGATTCAAAGTGCTCCACCTGGCTGCATTCCCATTTTTTTGTTTGAGGGAAAATTGTTCCCTATTACTGTATATCCTTCAAATGAACCAGAGTTTCTTCTGTTACTACTGTTTGACACTGTTTACAATCCTTCTTTATAATATGGACTGAAAGTCTTTCTTGAGCAAATACCTTTTTATGAAGTAAAGCAGCAAATGCACTAAAAAAAAAACTGATTACATTTACCAGATATTAGGGAATTATTAATCTCATCTCCATAATGTTTCCAGCTGCAAAATATGCAAGGAGAAGCACAGTAGGTCAGTCAGCACATCAGCCCTGCATGAGGGAGACAGACAGCATAGCACTGTTTCCATGTTGGCAGAACACTGTACTTTTCAGGTTATACTTCCCAGTGAGATGCCCAAGATGCATAACTTAAGCTCTCTTAAGCTTTTACCCACTGAGGGTACAAATAGTAAGAAATTCTAAAGGGATCTCTGTGGTGGGTGAAAGATTAATTAAAAAGATAAAAGCAACCCATTTTCTGTATGCAGGCAGTTTTATTTGCTGCTGATGGAATTATCTGTCTACACAAAACCACAAAGTCTGACATATTAGGCAGATTTGCAAAGAAGAAAGCAAATACAAAATAAATAAACAACTATGTAGAATTTGAGAAGCTGCCCAAAATATCAAAAACCTAGCATGTGAGATTTTGTACACATTAGTGCTGACTTCTCTGATTCTTCATTCCTACCATACAAAACCCTGATAAAACCATGTCTACCCCCACCTGAGCAGGGTGGGAAATTGCTATGAAGCCAAAGGACAATGCTGGCACACATAACAAGGAGGATCAGTTGTCCACCAATGAATCTTAATTAAAAAACATCGCTACCTGGACAAGTAAAGTTTTGGAACTGCCTTCCAAAATAAACAGCTGGTGCAAATAGCTGTACTCGTTAGGGTAGAAAGGAAGAGATTTTTTAGGAGTGTTTGATCTATCACAGTGACCTTCTTGGATAATAAGAGCCTTCTTTTTTCATCTCTATCGTAAGATCACAATTCTCCAACAAGTTAAGTTTGTGATGCCTGCATTATAAATCACTGCAGTGAGTACAATGCCATGGAGAAGTGAACCAGAGCACAGAGTTCAGAAATAAGCACAGTTTTGTTTACAGTTCATATTCAAAGAGCTTTAGGATGGACATCTCTGAACAGAATGATACCCTGGAGTCCAACACTGGCTTTTGGTTCTACTGAGAGTATGTTCTTTATAACATCACAGCACTCAGAGAAATATTAACCACTACACAGTATTTTAGAATACAGGAAACAACATATAAGATACTAGATAACTTCACAAAATCATTTCATGTTAATACTGAAAAGGCTTTGCTTGTTAAACAAAAAGACCTCCACCTGCAATGCTCACAGCACGTGTGTTAAATCAGTATTTAGACATTGATTGGAACAACGTTCACGTTACAATGAGTGAATACAAAACACAAATAACTTATAACTGCTGACAAAAAAAATACTGCACTGTTGAACACGTGATCTCATGCTCTTGTATATTTTGCATCTTAGATCTCATAGTTTCTGAATTTCCTCAGGAGGTCTGATGGGGCATCACCTGACCAGCGGAAACGCAAGTGCCAGTAATTTCCCTCTGAAAATCCTGAGAAAGAAAAAGAGAAAGGTAAGTAAGTTATTATAAATTAAGTATAAAATTAAGTTGTCTGAAATAATACTTGATAGTCTTCACCAAGAAAAAGTAAATAAAAAATTGGTCGCTTCCAGTGCTCCTGACCAGCAGGGTCAGGATTCTTGACATGTTTGAACAAGAACTCAAACACCAAACTTCAAGGTATAGATCAGCTGGGAAGAGTCCAAAAGAGAACAGCAAGAACAACAGCAGTCTACAAAAGAGGATTCACAAAATTAAACTGAACCAATTGCATTGGCTTAATCTAAAGAAGAAGAGACAGATGGTGACATGATAAATCTGCCAGTTAATACTAAAATGTGATTTTCTTATATCAAGAAAATTAAACCTATTAGCAGAATTAGCAAAATCTCTTATTCAGGCTGAAAGAGCTATGTTGAGTTGTAGTCTGTAATTTGTACAGACCAGCAGACAGGAACTGAAAATAACACAGTTTAAAAGTGGAATCCAATGTAGCAATTTTTCCTGGATCAAAACAAAAGCGTTATCAACATTCTAACATTAAGTATAAGCACTGAAGTACATAGAGACCCTCTCAAATAAATATATTATAATATCAACATTTATTAATGTAAATATATGCCTACTGGAAAAATTAGGTAGGTGCTTGATGGGTTTGATATTTTTCCCATTCAAATATCTGGAAATTAAATTAAAACTTAAAAAAAACCCAAAAAAACAAAACAACCCTGAGAAAGAAGATGCCTGCAAAGAAAATTCACCATTACAAGAAACAGGATGATTTTTTCTTTACTTCAAAATTTTACTGTTCTACAAGGGATACAGTGATGATTTAATCACCAAAAAAGGGCAAATAGTGTAAAGTTATAGAGCATAATTTTTCAGTATCAAGTTTTCAGTCAGGCCTGACATACATTTGTTTGTATAATTTTCTCATCTATTTTCTGCATTCCACAAGTGGTTGGGATTGCTATCCTCACAGCTCAACTTAATTTCCTGTTCGATCAAACTGGGAAAAAATTGTTTGATAATAGTTCTCTGATAATATAAACCTAAGATTACAAAACTCCTGAAGGATCAGGCAGCACAGAGGGTGGCTGTTGTGGTAAGTAAACTTTGATCAGGCACACTGACCTAAACAACAGACAGAAGTACTGACTGGGTAGGTGACACTTTTGAAATACACATTTATTCTGGTTGCATGGACTATTTTAAACCTGTTTGAATACAAAAGAAGCCTTTGAGTCTCAACTTTTAGACCTCATTAACTCATCAGATGCAAACTGCTCAAAAGGAATAAGTACTGGATAGAAAACAAAACCTAAATATTTTACTCAATAGTTTTAAAAGTTCATTTTTTTTTAAAAGTCACTGAAAATAACAGCCTTTTTTAAAATTTTTCCTTTTCATATAGCAGCAAAACTAAACTTTCCATTTTGGTTAAAGCTTTTTTTTTCTTCTTCCTCTCCAGTTTTCTGGCTTTACTAGAAAACAAGCAAGGAAACACAGGGTAAGGAAGAAGAAAGGTCTGAAAACTTCAGAATTAAATAAATAATAAAAAGCATAAACCCCAAAACAAAACTCCAACCCAAAATCATGATAAAAAACCCTACCAGTTAAACATATTATTCTGTAGGAGAATTGTTCATGATTAAAAGCCCCCATTTCAGGCCAATCCCTGGAAACTGCAATTTTCTGTAACTGCTGTTTTCACTTACTTGGGGAGTCTGGATTCTTTGAAGACTGTGGTTTCACATCAGGAATTGCAACATCATCTTGCTCTCTGTTCCCTCCCAACAATCCATCTTCATTGTTTTCCGTCTGTTGGGTCCAAATCTCATTAGTTATGTTGGTATTACTGAAGTCAGGAGCCTCCAGCATTTGGTCCTTCTTACTTTGGACAGCCCAGTGCATTGACTAAAGGAATAAATAACAAGTAACTAATTCCTGTGCTGTAAAAAAGAAGTAATGAACTTTTCTTTCTTATATTGTTGTAATTAATGGTTAAACAAAGCACATATTAAGAGAAGCTTGCAGGTGAATGGACAGGGGAAAGCATGGTTACATGTCTCAGCATTGGAGAGGACAGTTTATGTCACATGGGGATGAAGAACAAATGCATCAGATAATCCTAAGGACCTTTCTTCCAGTTTCTTCTGCCATGAATTCAAATACAATTTTTTTCAAGAGGGCTTGAGTGACTTCAGAAACGTTTTTCTTCAAAGCTGAACTGAACTCAGCTACATGGCATACTAACAGCAAACACTGAAACTCAGGCATAAAGCTTTAGTTGAAGAGGCTCAAACTTCTCTCCTAAGCAGAACTGAGGTGGGCAGAATTGATCAAGGAAACTTTTATTCACTTGTCTTAAAATATGACTATATAGAATTGTAACTATCATTCACTCTAATAAGGCAGAAAAAAAAATCAAATATTATGGAATTAAGATCTGCTAGGAACACACTAGCAAAATTATGAGGGAAAACAACCCTCAGAACATCTGCCTCTGTCACAAGCCATCCCACTAGCCCAGCAGAGTCCCTCCAAAGCCCTGTGTGAAGCCCAGGGTTTAAAGGAACCTATCCTCTGGATTTTTCAATGAGCTCCTTCTTTAATCAGATAGCATGAAAACCTTCTATAGCGCTGCAATTTTTCCTGCACATCCACAGTGCAGGAATCACTCCGCGCCATTCCCATCCTCGAGCCCCACCACTGCTGGAACTCATCCCCTCACTCACTGCACCCTTTTGTCTGGCCCAGCCCTACCTTCCCCTCCTCCTGAAGGCCCAACTTAGACAGCACCAACCGTTTTCACGGAGCTGCTCAGGGCCTCCCACTGCTGGAAGGGGATGGTGATGTGGCTTCGCCGCCAGTAATCGTAGCGCGCCCGGCTCTCTTCGTTAGTGAGAATCTCCTTAGCTTGCTGCAGCTTCTGGAAACTCTCCACTAGAACACAAACCAAAAGGATGCTAAAGCCTGTATTTGTTTGCAAAGCACTGAATTCAGACGCCAACAACGGCCCAGAGCAAACAGAACAGAGGAGGCAGAAGGAGAAGCCAGTCAACGAGGGATGTGGTTGTTCTGCTCCCAGCTGGCACAGCTGTAGCTGGTGTTGGGAACATCTTTGGTGGACAGCTGATACCCTTTCAAATGAGGAAGAAAATGCTGCTTAGTCTATTGGCTTCAAAAGCTCCTAAATTTAAGCTGAGAGAACCTTATAGAGTACACAGGCAAAAGGCACAAGTCAGCCCTTGCAGACAACCTTAAAAAGGGGAACTAGAGCAACGCTCCTTAGAAGGAACACACTTGGATCTACAGAAGCAAGGATGTAAGAAAGGTACACCACCAGGAAAACATGAAAAGAGGAAAAACAGACAAGCAGACATTGACAAGCAAAAAGAATAATCTAAAGATAGTTCAAAGTAATTAACTTGTGCATTTTGTTAGGTGTGGCCTCTCTATATATGCTAAAATGTCATCCTGAATACCAGACTGTATGAATGAGAGCTCTCCTTCTTCCCTACAGGGGCATTTCTCATGAAACGGTTACTAAGGATGCAGCTGCATGTTACTATTTGTAGAAGGGTTATAAAGATTTAGACCTTATCTATGACTCACCTATTTACAGTGATCTATTATTCATTTATTCCAGTCTACAAATTAGAGAGATTTCTTTTGAAATACACTGTGCCCAAACACTAATCAAAATTGGTAACTACAAATCAAACAAGAGACAACAGGTTGAGGTTCTATTAGGTTTCCTTATAGTGTTACTAGTTTTCAACAAAAAAGGTTTATTTTAATTACTCTTTATTGAGCTTTAACCCAATGAAATAAAAAACATAAAGTAAACTTTCACCAGTAGCATAAAAAGGTATTTAAAGTAAATACTGCATGTTCAATTAAATAGAGCATAAAACATTTCTTCTTGACAAACAAAGCTGGTTTGATATTTGGCACTTGGCCTCCCTTTTTTGAGCTACTTAGTTTCAATTGATTAGGAGGGAGAGATAGGACACAGACTGGAGGTACACAAATAGAACAGGACACTGGAATATTCTCATTTCCCTGCTGCAGTAGCCAGAATTTTCTGCAGGCAAAGTTGATTCCATTGGTTTCATTGGTACTTGTGCTACCACTTTGAATAAATATTAGTGATCAGGTTACTGTTCATAGGTGGTAGATTGTCTGTCAAATAGCAAATCTCAGGGGGTCTCAAAGTCAAAAATGCCACCTACTTTACTTTTTAAACACCCCTCCTCACCTGTGAACTCACTAAGGAAAGGAAAGCCCTGCTTTATAGCTTATAGTTAAACTAATAGGAAGAATCCAAAGAAAAAGTTCTGTGTGTTATTTAAAATGAGAAGCATATTAAATTATTCCACAACCAAATTTTGGTGGGGGATCAAAATCATAATCAGAACATAAGAATATAAACTCCTCAGATGTGGGTGAGCACTGACCAGACCTGTCTGTGGTTATGAATGGGTAAGACTGGATCCAAATAACTCAGGTGCTGCTTAGTCCTCACAGCTCAGGTCCCTGCTCTTGGGGGAAAAACAAGGCTTGGAGAAAAAAAAAATCCTAGAAAACAAAAAAATCCAACATTTGTCTTCCTGCACTATCACCTAGATGTGTGCAAGTCTTAGAAAAGAATATTAAAAGCTTACTATTTAAGTAGAATATGCTCAATACACATGATGATTAAAATATATTGAGGGGAAGGAATATTTAACAAAGTTTTAAGGCTGAATTTAGTACCTTGGACATGTTAATTGTTTTTAAACAGGATATAATACATACCTGCTTTGGGATTTCCAGGATGCTTGTCAGGATGACATTCCAGGGCTTTAATCTTATATTCTGCAAGAATTTGTTCAACCTAAACAGAATATTGAGACTTAAAGTAGTTAAATAGGTAGACACAGAAAAGGTTTTCAAATCTGATTTCTGAAAGGGGCTGGGAAAATTAACTAAGAATGCTGAAAGATTTTGTCCTATTTATTTTTACAACCTTTAGTACAAGCAAAGTAGGTAACAACAACCATCTGCCAGTGACACTGCTTACTTAATTTTATTTTCCATGCACTCAGTCTTCTTTTTACGAAGCTCAGTCATCCAATATGGCAAGTTGGCTCTAAGAAAAATGTGTAAAGGCATTTGACCACCCAGGCAAAATGCCTCACTTCAGCTGCTCTTTACTTTGTTTAATCAACTCTAACTCTTTCTGTATTTCTGAAGATCAAATTGTGGGATTAGGTGGCTTTCTCCATATCCTCTTCACAGGAAATTCAGCCAGCACCACGTGGCTTTTCCATCTTGGATACCCTGTTGCTAGATAACCAGCAGTTCACATTCTTTCTGTCAAGTTAATTTTCTGTGCAAAAAGGTTGGCTTGGAATAGATTTATAATCAATATTAGCACATTTATTAGTGAATTACAAGTTCCCACGCAGTTTGTAGTACCATAAAGTATCACAACCACTGGAAAAACAAAGACATAACAACAGTTAACAAAATACAGGAAACCACTGTAGTAGACAGCAGCTTAGATTTTCAGATGTTTAGTGCTTTTCCAAGTATCTTTCTGCTTATTGTAATGCAGAAGCGAAACCCCTTTATATCTTTCCAGTACAGCTTAAGTTTTCACAACAATTCACCCTGAGGTATCAATTAGTTACTATTCTTTCCCATGCAAGAAAGGCTGTTTATATAAATTCCTCATCCTTCAAACCATGAGAGTCACATACAATTTAAATTATTTATTTCAAAATTAAGGCTCATAACATTTTTCCTTTAGAATAAAATCACAGTTCGCTCAACTAGCTGGCCAAATTTTGTTGGCATATGCTGGGAAAAAATGTGGTCTACGGTGGTATCTTAAGAATTCTACATTTTACCTCTTCTCAGTAGCCTCTTCTGGAGGAGCAGATGTAATGTGCTGTATTTCCAGTCAGTGCAACACTTAAAAACACATATATGAAACAGAGAACTTGATGAAGCTGGTTACTGTATAGCCAGCTACCATCTCAAAAGTTACTTAAAGGGGAACTTCGCAGTTAAAATCTGTACAGTAGCAGAGGAATTCTGTGCTGCTACAAACACTTGACTGCATGTACAAAGGAGCGTGCCTGCAAAACACTTGTAATGCTCCAAATTTCTGTTAGACCTCAGCAGTGCTGTGCAGCATCCTGAGGGGAGCTGTGACCTCACCATGGCAAAAACAAGGCAGCAACATCTGCTGCTTCTCTCAACAAACAGTACTTGACAGCTTGTTCTTCAGGGCCCACTAGTATTTATTCCAGCTTTTTAATTTCATTTTAAGCAACTTGAAAAATCGTTATCAGATGTACTTGAACTGCTCGTTAATTGCTAAGACCTTAAGGAACTGGTGTGAGGTAGAAAATGAGAAACAGCATCTGCGAAACAAGCCTGCACGGAGACCTGAGCACTGCCCTCTGCTGGGATCCCTTCTGGGACTTTCCTCAGGAAAAGCTTTACATTTCCTTCTGAGACACAACGAAGATGTCTCCTCTTGATCTTTACACTTGACCACTAGGACAGGTGAGAGACTAAATTTGCTGGGCAAAATACAGCTTTTACCCCCACTGAATACATCTCTCATTACAGCAGAGTAATCAAAGCTCCTTTTCCAAAACAGAAAGACAATTCCAGTTAATATAACAGTTAGATTTAAAAAAAAATAAATAAATTAAAAAATCAGCATACCAGACTTCCAAAAAAATGTTATAGAGACACCTTTAGAATGAAGCACACTTGTTTTAGCTACAAATCACTCAACAATTGCTTAGCTAGATGTCTCATTATAAAGAACTATCTGCTACCGAAACAAATTAGTAAAGCTGGTATTTTAATGTCATTAAAAATAGCACTTAAAACCAGTAATATGATGAACAAAAAAGAGATATTGTTTTTGTTTTTCCTCCGAACCAATGAATACAGTTTAAAATCCCGAAATATGTACAGGGCCTGAGAAACTCAGCAGCGTTATCAGTGCCCTATAGCTATATAAACATTCATCATGTTAGAACAATATAAATAGCTTCTTTTCAGTTTTCAAAACCGGTAACATATTCCAAAATATTATTTGGATGCTGTCACATGTATGCAGTTGGCTCGTGATTCGTAACCACACCACTCGTTGATCTACACTAATAAATAAACCATTATTTTGGCTGTATCCGTAGCACACTCCTGTTCTACAGGGCATTTTTAACTTAAGCCTCATTCTGGGCTCTTCACGTCGGTGCACACATAAGAAAACCGAGCTTTCCAAGGGAGATGCTACAAGTGGCAAGAAAGAAGGTTCACCAGGCATTTCAGACAGTCCTGCCCGCAAATCGCCCGCGGACAGCCGAGCACATCCTAACTGTGATTGATCGGGGGGGCGAGGGAAGGTTCTTACCGTCGATAGCTCGTCGCATCCCAGCAAGTTGTAGTAATCCTCCAAATCCTCCGCGCTGCAGTTCAGAATCGCATCCATCGGCACTACTCCCGCGGGCTTTTTCCAGCCGGCACAGAGGCTGCAGAACACAATATCAAATCAGAGCTCACACAGGACTTTAAATCAGCCCAGGGCAACAGGCAGCTCCCACGCCGCTCTCCAGCGCTTGGAGCGCTGGCAGCTGACACGCAGGGATCGCGGGAGTTGTCGGCTGCCATTGGTCCCTGCAGGATGCCAACCCTCCTGCACGACCCTGCTCCCAGCAATGCTCCCTGGGATTTGTAGTTGCCAGAGTCACTTTCAACGCTAAACTGAGGATCCCGCCCAGACCAGAGTTCTGGGCACTGACCGAATCCTGGCCGAGATTCCGCTCACGCCAGTACCTGTGCGGCCACTGCAAACCACGCACAGGCTTAAAGGCTTCCCTGCCCCTGAGCCTACTCAAATACATCTGCTGCTCGATTTTTAATTGCAACTTTTGCCACAGTTTTTGACAAGGGGATTAAATGGGTAATTTTAGAAAAGAGTAAGGAATACATCCCAAACAATGATTATAGGGTACTGACCTTGCCAAAGTCTGTCAGTCACCTCAACAAAAATGGGGCAATCGACTCTCCAAGGCTTCCTCGGGTACATACACACCACTCCTCAAAACCAAACAGCTCCTGTGTTTCAGTCATGTATCTGACAAAATTAAAACTATCCAAAGGCATTATACTATTATAAAATTAAATAGGGACTCTTCCTCATGCTAAATTACTTTCAAATTGTGTGTTGAAGGTCTGTATTGCATGCAAACATGTTCCTTGTAAAATTCATTTTACACTGAAGTGAAACACCTTTAATTTTGAACTATGATTAGTGACCAAGGCCTCATCCCAGCAAAGACTACAGACACAACTGGTGTCTTCCATGATCTGTTATTTCAGAAGATTACTTCCCAGGTGTAGTACTAACCACGTGCTGAAGCATTTCCTCCGGAGTCTCAGGAGCTCTGTTTATACTTTTCCCATCCCTCCAGGAGCTTTGTAATCCAAGATGCTTCATGTTATTAAATATTGCTGATTGTTTAAACTAATACTTAAAACAGATGCCTTCAGTAGGTACACAATTCTAGATGCAGTGACTTTGCAACAGAACAGATCCCCAGGGTGTGACCAAGGCTGGGACAGGTGTGTGCAAATCAATCAAGGACCCAGTGGCCATTCAGAGCTGTTTATGAATAACAAATATATAATTTTTGCATCTACAAATGCTTTACTTTATTATCTACATTATTACTGTTCTGCAATGACATTTATTATTAGTCTTCCACTGCTTTCTCTTCAAGGTTGTATTGTCTCAAGTTTTCTAGTTTTACTGGATGTTCAGATAGCTTACTGAGACTACAAACTATATAAAGTACATGAAAACAAGCAATAATATTAAAAGACAAAGCACAAGCCTTGATGAAAACATTTAAATCTGTTAGAAAATTCTATCATCATATTTCTCTGAGTGAAAAAAATTACAGAAATGCTTTTTCAACTTGAAGTGGAAGAACTAGCAGTTACAAATCTGTCTCCCCCCATTAAATTAAATTAACTTAATAAATTAGAAAAGTATAGAAAATAAATTAAAGCCTTTCAGCAAGAAAATATGTAAATATTTAAATAGAATGTACTTTGGGGAGGACAAAAAACAAACAGCTGTCCCTCCTCCCAACAGCATTCCTGACATCCCTTCCTTGTCCAAGTATTCCTTGCATATTTGCCAAAGGTGAAAGGGAACGCTCTTTAACCCCTTTCCAGTCCAGCTTTCAGGGGCTATTTTTGTGGAGCTGCAGGCCCAAGAGCTGGATTCCAGTGACAAACACCTGCTGAGGCCAAACAAACAAGGGCTTTGATCCAAACTGCAGCAGTGCCCACAGCTGTGCCCCTGCCCCCTGGACACCCCCAGGCCTTGGGGCACAAAGGGTCCCACAGCACAGGCTGAAGGTTTGTGTACAGAGGACACAAAACACTGACACCAAATAACAACTCAGCCTTCTACTGCTCCTCCTGACTTCAGTGGGGCAACTCCCAAAGCATCATCAAAAAGGAGAACAAGAGAACCTGTACATAATACAAAGGAAAAAGCCCCAAAGATTAGCCCCAGGACATAAAGTTTATTTGAAATGGAATCACAGCACAGGACATGGCACATGTTATTGCCTGCACACGCTGTGATTAGCGTTGCTCAGGAGGTACAAACAGTTCTGGAAGTAAGGAAATCTCATATTTGTTCTCTGTACCCAAACACCAACAAACCACATCTATTCAGTCCTAGCACAGACCAACAGTTTTGCTTGTTTAGAGCCAAGTGTGAAACTAAATTCTAATTCAGTATAACAGGACATTTACCAACACCTTGTAAAAGTCACAAATGGCCCTTTAAATAAAGCAGCAAGATCTGGAAATCTATTTGAATTTATTCCTTTAAATACACCAGATCTTCCAGGACCACTTCTTCTCAACTGACTTCAGTGTTTTTGCTTCCTCATGGCAAAGTGCACGTTTACAAGTTCAAGGCACAATATAAATCATTTGAGCTTTGTATTTCATGCTCCATTCCTGTCCCCACACAAGCTCAGAGAAGCAGAAATAAAAGAGGACCCGAGCACTGCCAAACAGACTTCCCAAACTAAGGGTAACTACTGCAACACTATTATTACTGTGATAAATGTCTGCAATATCAGAGGCAGCTTTAGGATCCTCAAGTCACTCCCTCACCAATACCTCCAGATGCTATATCTACATCACTTACAGATTTTCTTCCTTAGAATGCAGTCTTCACATAAATAACCACCAAAACAAAAACATTAAAGCCCCACCTCTCCTTTATATTCTGACAAAACCACCTTGCATGTGCTTCTTAAGAAATCTGATTCCTGCCTCAGCTTCAGTAAGGAAAAAGAATGCTTGCATATAAATTTGAACAGAATAATAAAAACTATCTGATTCACGTCTGGTTTCTCAGCAGCTTGTTTTGAGACAGTGTGGAAAATGGCAGGTACGTATTTTGCAAGGTTGTTAATACCTGAAAGAACCACAAAAAAAAAAAAATAATTCCCTCCTACAAATACATAGACCACCCATAAAGTCAGTTATCTATAAAATAATCCCTTTCAAAGCCAAAACCCATGTGACAACAAACTCAAGCCAAATCTTTTAAAAGCTGTCAGCTATCAAGGCCTGAAAGAAGAAAATTCTACCTGTGCAATCTGGGTCTTGTCACTAAACCTAGGGATTCCATTGTACTAAATTCACTAAAACTCTTCTGCAAACAGCTTGTGATGTTGAGCAGCAACATTAAAAAACACTTTAATCTGTAGCCGAGTTGCCTCCAGCCCAGACCCAGGGGCAGAAAGCAGCGCTACACCACGGAAAGCCCAGGCGCGGTACGTCCGTGTTCGCCACGCGGTGACAGCCCCGCTTCGGCATCACGGTGGGGCACCAAGGACCGCCCCTGCAAATCACAAAACGAAAGAGATCGCTAGAAAAACCAGCGGGCACCACAGAGACCAGCACCCTTCCAGGGCACGTGGGAACGAATGAACTTGGGGCTGCTATCACAGCAAGTCCAGGAGCCGTTGTTCAGACGGGAGCTGACCCCACAGAAGGCTCCTGCAGCTCGGGAGCACCGCGGTACAAAATCCCAGAAGACAGGGGGCTAAGGTGTTATCCCAGAGGACAAGGAGCTAAAGTGTTGTGTTATCCCAGAAGATAAGGGGCAGTACCTTCGAGCACGCCGACCGTGAGCCCGAGGTGCCGGCGCACACCGTCCCCGGGCAGGCACACGGCACGGACGGCAGGGAGAAGCAGGGAGAAGCAGGGGGAGGCAGGCGACGGCAGGGGTAGGCAGGGGGAGGCAGGGGGAGGCAGGGACAGGCAGGGGACGGCAGGGGACGGCAGGGGGCAGCCGGAGCGGCCCCGCGCCGAGCCGTCCTTGGGCGGCCCCTCGGGGCCGCGGTGACAGGAGCGCCTGTGGGGAAGGGGGGAAGCCGCAGGCAGCGCGAGCGCCACGTGACGCCGGCAGCGCGCGCGGTCACGTGCCCCGGTGTGTTGT